TCTCTGACATTCGTCTCAACGTCCATCTTGAAGATAAACAGTAACCACCTCCCTAAGAAGTTTAATCAATCACAAAGAATCCCTTATCAATAGTAACGGAAAAGGGAAATCTTCTATTACTTCCAAAAACTAGGTTAAATTCAAGTGTTTATGATTTCGTACGGCTTTCTTCTTTTTCGATCAGTTATGTCTTTTGGTTTAATTTCGTTTACCCATTGATAAAACTTTGCAATTAACAAATTCTGTGTTATTTATATATGCAAATTAATGAGTGATAATTGAATGCAGAATCAAGAATGGTCAGTCGTGTACCATGGTTCGATCGCCTATTGGATGACACAGGCGAATACTTCTGCGGTGGAATCGTACTTGGGTCGGTTTCTCACATGTTTTCAGGCATGTACAACTCTCCTACAGGTGAGTGCTTGATCCGGGGCTCACGAGCTGTACGCATGAACGCCCCCCGTTGTGGTGGGTACCTAGCCGTCTATGGTGGTCTTGCCTCTGTCTTGGAAAGTTGTATGGTGTATGCAAGGCAAAAGGATGATCCCTGGAATTTCATCCTCGCTGGTGCCGCTGCCTCCGGATTCCAAGATATGCGCCATGGCCTTGGCATGGCTTCACGCTCGGGTCTCGCTCTTGGCTCGATCCGCTTCCTCGGAGTGGGTACTGATATCTTGCTTAATAAGATCGCGAGTAATGTCCAGTCCCCACAACTCGACTCCAACTTTGAAGAATAAAGAAAGATTTTGAGTTGCTTTTTCTATCTATATTGATGTCCATTTAAATCGAATATTGACACTTGTGATTATGCGTAGAATTGAAAATTATAATCTTCTACCAATGATTTGAATGGATATGCTAATTGCAGTTATTTTTCCATGGTGTTTCTTCTAGGATCTTGTAAGTTGAGATTTCTGTTCTTGTTTCCATTGTTGAACGTGACTGTTTGAGATCTAATACCACGTGGTCTAAAAGTTTAAGTTATTAAATATGTGATATTTTAAAGCCGAATCAGAACACTAGAGCAACTCTCACCGTAATCTGGGATTTAAGAGTGTTCCAGCACAAAAGAGCTTGCACCAGTTTCTGTCTGCCTCAACCAGTTCGTTTATGTAGTCTGATAAATTTGGAAACGTGAAAATTTGTAAGCCTTGAATTCGATCCAACTTCAAATATTGTCGTTAAAACAATTTACACAAGTATCAGCACTAAGTAATTGTCAAGTCAACTTTTGTGATTTTTTCATGTCTATGTAAGTACGAATGTAACATGAATAATAAGAAGGTACCGAGGAAACTTCATCTCTGTGATACAGGGGAGCAAAGCCAATTCTTGGAAATAACTGGAATTGTTGATTTTTACTTGAATTTTCTGCTCTAAAGCTCGTAGCAGCACGAATCATATCAAGAAGATCATTGTCCTATCCCATGCCGGTTTCTTATTAGATCTTGCATTCAATCGAATGCACCTCACGTCGCCAACTCCAAATTTATTACCAACAAGGCTTTTTATTGTTGTAACCAACTTCAGAAAAAAGGTACACCTTTTATAATTTGTATCTATTGTGTATTGGAGTTTCATCTTACTAAGCCTAACACTTTAGAGGATTGCCCATCCTCAATATGTTGGTTATTGTTTTCATATTTATGCAGTATCGGGTTTTACCATCAACGTGTTATCGCAAGATGGTAGCCCATTTGAAACATCAATCTTGAATTCAATAGCTCGATTGCACTTTATACATCTCAAATTGCTCATTTGAGCTTCTTGAAAACTCCGATGATACCATATTAAGTCATGTGGTTCCATCCTTTTTACGTCTAATCTTGTCCAGAAGAGTAGGACAAGCATTACCGTTTTATATGTTTAAACGATAAGGGATTTTACCCTTAACAGTATCCTATCTAATATAACTCATTCTATAATTATATAAGTTTTCAAGCAGGTATTTTGTTAAATTACTAATTTATTTACACTTCAAATTTTTAACTTCTAGCCTGAACAGAAGATTGAGCTTCTTGATTAGCCACAGATGATTCATTCACTAATATATCTATTCTGTATTCTTTCTTGGATTCTTCTCCAAGTTCATTTGGGTCCGGACTCTTAAATTTTGCACATGAAGCAAGCTCATTAATGGCATCCCCAATGTTTTCCACACAGATAGCAATATCTATCAGCAGTGATGCTACTCCGGCAACTGGTATTACTTGCAGAAGATAACAATTGGACTTCAGTAAAGATTTTTGGTTTTTCAACTCGATTTTCAGGTTCTCGACTCGCAGATTAGGAGATAATGGCTTAGTCATGGTTTCAATAGCCCTGGCTAGTTGTTTTAGTGCTTTTCCAGATTCTGAACTCATTTCTGAAAGTGCCTCTTGAACGATCTCATTGATCTCTTCTGGTGCCTGCATCAGAAGAAAAAACTATATCAATTGATCTGTATGATTAATCAATTCACAATATTGATACGTTGTATTGTACAATATAATGGACAAGATACGGAGCACACTAATCAATGTTCTCGATAAATGCGTATTAATATTATTAATTTTTCTAGCTGCCATCTTTTTGATGCCATCGGCAAAACATTTGGAATGGACTTATGGTTGCCTTGCATGGACGATTATGCAGCTATAACCTTATTTTTGTCGTAAAAGGTTATATTTTATCAAATTTCTTGGAATTGGGATTAATGACATGACTCAATGATCAGTTGGAAGGGATCGTAATTTACTTGAATTTTGGAGTTCAGGTAGCCTCTGAGGGCTTCAAGCCTGGAGGCACACTGCCTTGTCAAATTTCCGATTTTGAGATATTGTTCCCATGGATGACGATATGCGAACTGTCCATGCATCGGTTCCCAACTAGCAAAATTTGCCTGCCAATAAAATTCAGTCAAAATCACTGATATTAGTATGAACATATTTGTTTGTATGTAAACGAGTAAAGGAGAAACGTTCACCTACCAAGGTTTCTTCGTTGTTTTTCGAATCAAGAACACTGTTCAAGCCAGATAAAAATGATCCATCATTTTGGGATTTTGTAATTGATGATGATTTATTAGAAAACTCATCTGCAAATGCTGTAAGATAACGAAAATTTATTTGTGACGTAGATTTTTATTAAACTGTATAATGAACAAGATTTTAACTTCTCTTTCGGATCTCCATTAACATCTTCCAGTACTGTAAATGGTGAAAGATTTTTACCTTCCAAGAAATTCCCAAGGTTCTCTATGTTTTGAGCAACAAGTTTGTGAAGATCTTCACTAGCCCAAACTGGACAAACGAAAATGGATACGAGCAAGGAAGTGGATGCACCGACGAAAATGGTTAATAGCCTCATACAGGCCAACTTGAATATTTCATTAGTTCTAATACCAGATATCGATACTAGACAGAATGTCAGTATGAATATTAGCATCCCATAGTCGTAACTCGCCTTCACTTTTGGAAGGAATCGTATGAATGTTGATGCCACAGCTGCAAAATACACACATCAGTCAGCAACGTCACGAGAAATCAGATTAATGTGATATTGTAAAAAAATTAGCATGCATATATATATATATATACCTTGAACGAAGACGAACATTCCAATTAATATTGGTTCGGCGTGTTTTCCAGGGATACTAGCTAAGTGAAGTGCTCCAAGAGCAAGAGCACTAGCAACCAGGGTTGCCAATCCTCTATTCAGGCATTTTCCTATAGTTGCACCTGAAAAAAGTGTGAAGTCAAAGAACTTTCAAGAAGGACGATTAGGCTTGACTAATCAGGATGAGCACGTTTGGAAACAAATGTTTAGCAATATTTAAGGTCTGATAATTATACTATGAAAATGCATAGTTTTTAGCAACTTACCAACTGAGAATTCAAAGACAAGCAATACTGTGGCTATAGCCCACATTGCTGATATACCAAAGCTTTTGAACAGAGGCTGCAAGTAATATAAAAGTGAAACTAAGGTAAGTGCAAATCCAACTTTCAGTGAATGAATCACTCTTCTTGGATCTTCTTGTGCAATTTTTT